TATAAGTTGAAACCCAATCAAATGAATTTCAAATAAATTATTTTCATCTTTTTTCTTATAGTTAGAACAACAAATCGCTAAGAACAGATAATATTTTTCGAATTTTGTAGTATAATACGAGAGATAAAAATATAATTTTGATAAATTTGAGATGATATTTAATGTAAGTACAAATATACTTAACACTTTTTATTAATGTTTTACATATAAAAATTATTCACGTGCAACGCACGTGTTGCATTGCAAGTTTCATTAAAAACCATTATATACTTACTATATTATTTTTCATCTTTCTTATTATAAACTAATTCATATCTAGAGTACATCGTACATAGATCTTCTTATCACGCATCTTAGTACGAATGATTGATGTTTACTTTTTACTTTTTATCAATCAATGAAGTTTAAATTGTCTTTATAATCCATAAATAAAATCATCAATTTATTATTCATACAAAAAATAAATAATTACTGTATGAAAATCTATAGTTCTCAAAAAATAAAAAAAAATCTGAAGTCCAAGCTAATCAGCAATTGAAAAAAAATAGGTGACCAATACAAAAAAAATAAGACAGTAATTGCACCAACAAAAAATGTTCAAAACCAATTTAAACGCTATGTGTTGAAATTATTCAAACATCCTATCATTGTGTACTGAAATTTTATAAGTAACATAGTGTCTTCAGACACGGGCAATGACTAATAAAGTACAATACATTTCAAATCTCAAAAGATAAATAAAATGACTTTTACTTTTCTTAGTTGAGATCTTTTTAAATTTATTTTAAAATTAATCCGATTACTAATATTAAAACCCCAAATTTAATAGGAAAATATAGGCCCATAAAGACGTGTTTGGGATTTACTTTTTAAAAATATTTACAAAACTTATAACTTCTCATAAGTACTTTAAAAGAAAAAGTAGTGTTTGAAACCGCCTCACCTTCACCACCACCACTACAAGTATTCTACTATCATCACCATTACCAGTACCACCACCATAGTCGTCACTGCTGCTGCCACACCCACCACCATCACCACTACCACCCCCACCCCCACCACCACCACCCTATAACTACTACCCTCACCCACCATCACCATTATCACCACCCCATCACCAATCCCAGCACTAGTGCTATTATCCTATCATCACCACTACCACCATAATTGCTGCTGCCACCCCACCACCACCATCATCATCCACTACCGATTGCTACCACCGTCGTCTATCGTCATCACTCATCACTATTGTCATCTCATTCTTATATTTATTATCACTACCACCATCATCCCATTACCAGCGTCACCCACCATCAGCGTCACCCACCATCAGCACCCACTATCACCATTATTGTCCACCACCACCCATCGTCGCCCACAATCACCGCTAGTCACAATCACCCACCTAACACCACACCTATCACCACCACCCGTCATTACCCACCATTGCTGCCACCCATTATCACCCACCCCAACCACACCTACCACCACCATCAGTATTGTCATTCACCTCCACCCATCACACGATCGTCCAGAAGCATCCGTTGTCGCCCATAACCACTATCGTCACCACCCACCACTACTGTCGTCGCTCCACCACCACTCACACCCACCGCCATAACCCCATAACTGCCATTACCACCACCATCACTATTTCCACCCGCAACTGTCATCACCACCATGGTCATCGCCACCCACCACAACTATCACTATCACCCACCACTACCACTGTTGCCTACCACCACTCACTCTTATTACAATCGGTGCTTAAAATTCGTTCTCTCTCTTGTATGTGTGAGATTTGATTTTGGGTATGAATATAAATATGTTTATTGTTAACTATTTTTTTTATTACTCTGTACCTTTAGACACAGACAATAACTAGTAAATAAATAATACAATTGAATCCACTAATATCACAGCCATCGTTTCATCACATAAATTTAATAATAAATAAATAAATAAGACAAGTGAATTTCACTAATTTCTTTTTTTTTTTTTTTTTATCAATATTCATACAGAGGATGAATAAGGGTATTCGGTGAGACTCGAACCTTGCATCAAGAGGCAAGGTAAGAAAGACACTAACCACTAGGTCATTTCTTTAAACTCCACATAATGGTTGTTGAATGTTAAAGATAGGATAGTTTTCAATAGTTAAGGGTATTCGGGCCAACTTACACGCACTTCGATTAATTCTCTCTTCGGTTTAATCAAAAATAGGTCATATATATCGGAATTAATGTATTTATGAAGCTCATAATTTAGACTTAAAAAGTTGCCAACAAGTCCTATGTTTTTATTAATAATTAGTTCGGGAATAATGACATTATGTTAGTTGGGAAGTCCATATACATTCAAAAAAAAAATGTATTTCTATAATTACATCAACCTACCTCAAATTTTATTGGTATTCACCATAAATTAATGCTACAAAAAAGAGAGTTCCTATCATTTTTTTCCCCAGGTTGGTTGCTTATCAATTTCTAGGAAAAAGAAACTAATTTATTTTAGTTTCTGAAAGAAGCTGTGATCAAAGATTGGCTAATGAAATCTCAAGTTGCATGATATTTTATTTTGGTCAATCTTAATCTGTTTGATATTCTACATCAAAATTTTTAGACTGGTCAAAATTGAGACGAGGGAGGCAACCTTGGCAAAACTTTTGGACATCAATGGTATCAAACTTATGAATATTCAGACTATAACTATTTTGATGAATAGTTACTCATTTTTGACAATCATACGATTCCAAAAGATGATTCAGAATTGACTCAATCACATTTGTTATAGGTTGACAATAGAAAGGTTGTACTAGTCAAAACTCATCTACGTATTATCATAACACCTGTGTATTTTGACTATTATTTATGTTGTATTGATATAATATGACAATGGAAGGAATTTTTTGACAACTCTAAACTCTTGGTCCAAATTGAGAGGGAGAGTGGGAGGGGCACAACTTTGGTTTTTTGAATAATATTTATATTGCATTGAATTAATCCTATGAATAAAATATTAAAAAAATTGCTAATCAAATAAATATATACCTTTAAAACCTTCTCACCGTTCGTTGGAAAGACTGGGAGGCAGATGTGAGTTGGGCCCTTATTTTAGCCCAAGCCTTTTACCCCTAAGAATTTTTTTGGTGGTTTTTTTTTCTACTTATCCCGAATTTTTTTGGGATTTAGGGATGTCGGTACTTCCCAAAAAATTTAATAGGATAAAAGTATACTTTTTAAAATAATTGGGATAGAAATACATATGATAAAAAAAAGATATAAAAGCCCTTTTACCCCTACCATAAATAGTACATACCTAATTGAATGTGAGACTTTCAAGATTAGAATGTGAGACTTTCAAGATTTTTTTTTATATTTGTGAATCATTTAAATTTTGAAATTTTATATATATATACACACACACACACGTAATACTGTGACATGCTCAACAAAAAAATAGTAACATCAAATAGTGACAAAATCAACAAAAAAAAAGTAACATCAAACAATAACACACTCAACAAAAAAATAGTAACATCAAACAGTAACACAAATATTTTTGTTGAGCATGTCACTGTTTGATGTTATTCTTTTTTTGTTGACCGTGATACTGTTTGATGTCACTGTATTATGTGTGTGTGTGTGTGTGTGTATATATATATATATGAAATTTCAATATTCAAATGATACACAAATATCAAAAGGAATCTTAAAAGTCTCACATTCTAATCCAGAAAGTTTCACATTCAAGTAGGTATGCATTATTTATGGTAGGGGTAATTATGAAATACATTTTAGAAAGAATTTGATAATGTTTTAAAATGTGTACTTATTGACAACTATTTTATGAAAAAGATGACTGAAACGAGGATAAGTTTGAAGGTGGTACTTAAAGCCAAATAAATTTTGAAAAGATACTCACATCTCATTATCTCATTTTTTTTTCTTCACCATTTTAGTCTTTGTCGAAAAAACATTTGAAACTTTTCAAAATTTTAAATTCTTTTGATAAAATGTGTGATTGTTTTTGTCTTCTCTATTCTAGTTTTTTTCAAAAAAAAATTTCTTGTTATCGTCTTGTACAATTGTATTTTGTTTGATGTTTTGTGTTTTGTGTTCCAGACATTTGTTCGAATGAATTCCAAATTTTTTTTTCACAATGCAATGTGACTAGTTACTTAACAATTGTGACAAGTCTTTGAAAAACAATAGGATAATATACTCAAAAACAATGCGACAATCTATTAAACAATGTGACAAGTTACTTAAAAAGTGTTACGAGTCCCTAAAAAAATATGGTAGTATACTCACAAATAATATGACAACAAATTAATCAATGTGACAAGTTATTCAAAAAGTGTGACATATTACCGAAAAATAATGTGACAATATACTTAAAAACAATGTGACTCTAACAATCTAGTAGTTCTGGCGATGGAAACTTCAAATCAGTAGTTCCAACTGTGGAAGCTTCAAACCACTTGGATGCTATGTTCTTTGATCTTCTCTATCACGATGAAATAGTTTTTTGGCACTTCATTACATGAATCCGCAGGAGATGGAACATCGAAATTAGTTGGATTTGTTTTTCAAATTTAAAAGCAACAAAATCAACAAGATTTTTCGTTTGTTGATGGATCCGGTGATGGATCGTTTGAGTGGTGACCGGTTAGCGTTTAATTAGAGTTGTGATGTTTCAGTTTTCTTAACAGACTTTGAAGTATCTATAATCGTGCATAAGGGTACCACTGTCAGTTTGCCTAAAAGTGGACTTTTATTCAAAATATTTTTTAATTTGAATTTTTTTTCTCAAACAAGTCCTCCAGAGGGTATCGATTTCCAAGGACTCTATTACTTGGGGTCCTCTTTTTTTGGGGCCTTAAAGAGCTACTTCAGTGGCCTTTCTATTGTGCCGACTTAAGTGAAAAGCGAGTGATTTTTTTTTAATGAAGTTATTCGATTTAAATTGATTTTTTAATTTTTAATAAATTCGAATATCCACTTCAAAAATAATATTTATCGAATCGAATTTGAATAAATATCAAGTACTTGAGCCATGCAAACCAAACAGAGGAAAAGAAATGCATATATTCTACGTGCATGTATAAAACCTCTCTAACAAAACACTATACCCACATATCACGAGTTGTTCTAAGGAATTATCAATTTCCTTACTTTGTGGATTAGCCGTCGACAAATTGGACACATTTTGTTCTCCCCATCCATAATCCTGCAAAAGCCAAACATATAAAATCTGTTATGCTTATGGTAATTGAATTGCAATGCAAGCATATGTGTATATTTATGTATTCATAGTTTCAACACAAAACTCGGATTCGGTACATGACGATCATATAATATTGTACATGAGTTGAACTCGAATTTTATGTGATTAATGGAACATGAACTTGCAATGCATGTATCTAGCTCTCATCATTTGTTCCACCATTGAATTAATCGTCTAAGTTCATTAGTTTTTTAATTCAACGGTAAAGGGTGATTGAGCTAGGTTATACGCATCTCGACTAATCATCTCCCCGATCCGATTAAAAGTAGGTCATTCATACTGGGATTAGGATGTTCATGAGAGATAATTCTCTTATGTCCTGACCTCAAAGGGTAGCTAAAAATTAAATTCAGAACGTTTAAATCTACAGTTCATTCTTATAATCTGTGAGTTTTTATATATGAAACAGACTATGAAGTTGTTGTAAAGAATGTACCTCTGAGCACAATCACAGCATGTGGCACAGTGGCCACAAGGAACAAAGAAGCAGTTGCGCAGCATATCATAGCAAATAACACAAATCTTCCCATCATATAAATCCTCCGATGAGCTAGAAGTGACAGACTCCCCTTCTTCCTCCCCTGTTCCATATGGCAATCCGTATGTCTTCTCCGGCATCAAAGGATAGGTCTCGGTTATTTCTCGGATGGCCGGAAATTCTTCGACTTGCCTCTCACTATCACATGCTCCAAGGTATTTCAACATGAGATAAATTATAATCACAAAAAATCCTGCAAAAAAAAAAACCACGAAAAAGTAAGCCAGAGATGCATAGGCAGCTACAAGTAACAATTGGCAACTGTCCCGGCTCCCAGACCCACGGGTCAATGAGTTGGGGTGGGCTAAAGGCTGAGTCGATCGAGGCTAACAAGTCAAAAACCATTATCCATTTCCCAACTAAGTTACCAACGGATCGCCAAATGACGGTGTGACCTGGCCCATAGATCAACAGAAGGTACCTAAAATTGTAATGTAGGTGAGAATTCTTGCCGCAAATGAAATCTCAATATACCATCTACCAAGATCTCCCTGCAATTAATTAATTTTAGTAATAATCAGATTCCATGGAACTCGATTAATAATTTATAAGGGTAAAGAAATGGAGAAGAACGTACATTGTTCGGTGTAGATATGATAACATATTCTGTTTTTGGGAAGAGAAGATTGAGCCGACATGAACCCTTCGTTGTTGAACACATGCTCTTTGCTCTCGTGGTATCGTACATCTTCGATGAAACGTTTACATCCATAGTCATTATAATGCTTCTAGGGTTTGAGTTTATGATGCCAACATAGTACCTGTCATCTTCCTCAATACTGTATAGAGCTTCTTTACCTAAAACACCCACATTTTACATTTTCAGTCTTACAAGTTACAATTCATCCGTTACTTTGTGTTTTCAATTAACACAAAAAATTATAAGAATCATTACTAAGATAATATCCAAATATTTGTATTAATGGATGATGATCCTCAACACAAATATTATGGGTCGCCAAAGGTTTTTGCTTAGATGTCGCACAGTTATGTTGGTCGCCAAACGATGATTATACTTGGTGACAAAATAAGAGGTAGTCACTAAAAACTTTACTAAACGAAGCTTTTGCGACTACTTTGATGGCAAAAGTCTGTTTCGATGCTAAAAACAGTTAGAGTTTAAGAACTTGATATCACCTGAGCAAGTAGATTTGAGTCCTCCTGTTGGTTCTTTGAGTGAATAAGCGTTGGAAAAACTCATTGAACTTGGCAGCAATGTTTCGAAGTCCCGCTCCCCTGTTTAAAATAAAAATTGCATTATATATAAACCTTACGGATGTAAAGTCTTTTTATTTTATTATTTTTTAATTAATAATTTCTAATTATTAAAATTAAAATCAATGATTGAAGATTAATTTCGGCACGGAATCTTCTTACCATAGGCTTATATCGAACATAATCAAGGACGACAATTCAGTAAGTTGAGTTGAATTTTCTAGATTTGATTTTGGATTTATTGCAGTAGAGGTCCCAAAATATAGAGTTTGTTTCATTTTGATCCATAATATTTTAATTGTATCATTTTAGCCCTTAAAGTATTGAATATTTTTCTACGTAATCACTCAAGCAGACAACATTTAAATTATTAACGATTTTTTTAATCATAAACTCGTCACGTGATACTTAAATATGGGTAAAAAATAATTTGAGTAGCTTTTGAAAAAAAAAATGTGTAATATGGATAGCTCTTGACCGAAATTTAGATAACTCATGATCAAAATTGTGTAATGTGGATAATTATTTGATCAAAATTTAGATAAAAATTTGGCCAAAAATTATCCAAATTATATTTTTGCTCATATTTAAGTATTATGTGACAAATTCATAGCCAGAAATTATTAGTAATCTAGATACAATACTTTTAAAACTAAAATAATATAATTGAAATATTAGAGACTAAAATAAAATAAATGTCATATTTTGGGGACCCCTAATGTAATTAACTCTTTGACTTTTCAACTAATGGCATGTACCTTTCACTAGAGACACTTGAAGTTTACCCAAACAAGTGGTCCGAGCTTCCCATCTCATCCAAATTCTTGAACCCTTGTTCATCCACAAGTAGAATCCCTGAATAATAAATTGAAACCTATCAATAAATTAAATCTATTTTTCATTTAAAAAAATTGTAACCCGAAACCCAAAACTTTTAACATGACCCCACAAACTTACAAATGTTTCGAGATCGACCCTAACTTTTTTTTTTCTAACCGAATCCCCAAGAATTATATTGTAACCCACAAAAATTATAAACTCCGACATGGTAACTACTCGGAATCTAAGTAGAATCATGAACTTTATCACAAACAAATAACAATTTGTAAATCTCACATGTTACCTTGCGACTGTATGACCCGACAATCATATAATTAGACACACTCCAGTTTGTCACCGAGCTCAATTGAGGCTTCTCTGAAAACCCATAAAGAAAAACTCCTTTCCGAGCATCATCTCTCACTTCAACTTGCTTTACCAACATAGTATTTGCTTTGAACAATCGCGACGAGCTCGGTCCAAGCATCATATGACAATCCCCATAAAAACCGTACCTTAGGGTCACTGCAACTGCAAAAGAAATAATAGGAAGATTGTTGGTTCAGGAAGGAGAGGTTTCTTGAAGAAAAAAAAAGAACAAATGATCAAAATTACTTGCCACATATCCATATAGTCAATGGAACAAGCAAACGAGCCCAACAGGCTTGCCACCGCCGGAGCTGATGGTGGTACCCAAGTGGTATGAACCCTGGTCTGCACATGGCCTGTGGAAGAGAGAGAGAGAGAGAGAGAGAGAGACAGAGACAAATAAGGAGGGGGGAGTGGTGGATGCAGGTGTTTTTGCTTTGCTTCAATTTCGACTAGCCGCTGGATTGAGATTGGCGGGTAATTGAATGGTAGGTGTAACCGTGTAAGTATTCCGGATTTTGGGGCTACTTTGTATATAAGAACTAGAAGTGCCAAGAACCCTACAACCGTACAAACTACTGCGTGTGTATGGCCTTAGTCTCCTTTGTCAGCCCAACTAAATGTGTCCATGGGTCAGGTTGGCCAATAAGATCAGAAATCCGGCCCAAAAATAAGCCTAAAATTTGATAAATTCAATAATTGACCGGTCCGAATCTAAGCCTAATATATTTCAAGAGAGGACTTGGATCTTTCCCAAGTCATTACCCGGCCCATTAGCCAACTCATAAAAACTTATAAAACCTGGCTCAAGAACTTGGCCGTCGAGTGAGTGACTAGTTGAATTGCAAATAGCCTATCCTTACCCCAACCTAAAGTTTAACATGTTTAATAACTCACACGGGTAAAAATTTGGGTTTACCTTAAGGCCCAACTCGCATTTTTTTTATGGACTAAGCCCAACTATTGTTGAAATTGGCATGCCTAAGTAACAGCCAATTTGAATTCGATTTGAAAATTTTTATCCGATTATTTGTCTGATTTTATGTATACATAGATGTAATGTGGATTTACAATCAGATAATTGATCATAAATATCAACCTATATATGACCAGTCAATTCGGATTAAAGTCCATCGATAGAGAAAGTAGTTCCAACCTTAGGAAATAATGACATGGAATTGTGAAGAATTGAGTCTCGTATAATCGGTCAAACGTGAATGAGTTAGTTTGATTCTCTTGCGTTAAACCATGTCGTTCACTAGGGTACTATTTAAGAAACATTCAAGATTATTTAGTTAGACATATTGCACCTGCAATCATTTTTATTTTCAACCGTTTTTCACAAATCGTGAATTATTGTTAGACTTTTCAAAATTTGATATGATACGATTAATCGACATAGAATTAAGTGGGTTTGAATGAAGTCTCATCGTATTCGGGTGATAAACAGTTGGATCTGTCAGACTTGTTTAATAAATCGATCGTGTTCATATATGAGGCATGTCATCCTGTTTATCACTCGTTTAAATAAAATTAATATAATAATATATATAATAAAATACAATATAATTCAAATTTCAAAAGATAAACGATATAATTTTTATTTTTTGTGATTGAGATCTTTTTAAATTTTATTGTAAAGTTAATCCAAGAGTTAATATTAATTCTCCAAATTTAATAAGAAAAATACATCCTTAAAAATGTGTTTGTGGTGACTTTTTAAAAGTGTTTCTAAAATTTTTAATTTCTCATAAATACTTTATTTTTTTTATAAAAAAATAAGTGTTTAGAACCATCACACCCCACCCCACCCCACCAACACTATTACCACCACCACTGTGACCACCACCGCCACCCCACCACCAAACTACCCCCCACCACTACCTCCACCATCATTACCCCTACCACCATTGTCACCCCACCCACTGCCTCATCACCACTATCACCACCCCCCCACCACAGCTACTGTCACCCCTTATCATTACCATCATCGTTGTCGCTGTCACTCCCCCATCACATCTGTCACAATAGCCACCATAACCCCTATCACCCCACCACCACCTTCACCTACACCCCATCATCACCCTACAACCATCACTCATTGTCTTACCATTACCCCTACCGCCCCACCACCACCCCTCACGATTATTACAACTACTGCCACCGTCGCTATTACCCCCCACCACCACTACCACCGTTCACTTCCATTACAACTGGTGTTAGCATTTCTTTCTCTTTCTTTTATGTTTGTAATTTGATTTTAGATATGAATACAAATATATTTATTATTAACTATTTTTTTATTACTTCGTGCCTTTAAACACAGACAATAACTAGTAAATTAATAATCTATATATACTATTTATAAATATCAGTATCTGCGACAAATTTTTTGATTTCTTATTTTATCCATAATTATTATAATAAAGTTAATTATACTCACCTATATACTTTTATCTAATTTATGTTTTTTACACTTATTTGACTTTTAACTATTTTATAAGAACTTATAAATTCTTTTGAACTCATTTATTAGTAGTATAGTTTCTTATAATTATCTATATCAATATGAAGAAGTAAGATCCTATACATATTAAATTATTATACACATATAATTACCAAATTGAATTCCAATGTCCAATATATATTATATTTTATTTTTTGATATGTAATAATATAATAATATTATAAACGATCTAATCAATTTAGTTAACAAAATAAAAATTAATAATTGTATAATACAATTAGATATGTAAATGCCTAAAAGTGTCGAAGAGATATTTAAATAAATGAAAAATTAGATTTTTAAAAATGTATACCAAAGGGCCTTTGGTTCAAATAATACTCTTTATCTTATAAAAGTTTTATTTTTTTGAGATTAAGGATTCAAGTCCCCTCCTCCCTATATATATATATATAATAAATTAATAATTAAATCTAGTAATATTTAAAATATGAATTAATTATTTGACACCTAATTTATTATTTAATTTAACTACACATATAATTCATATTTTTTATAAAAATAATATTATTTTAAATTTATTTACGTGCTTTTATGCACAGCGTGTATTGCTAGTTATTAGAAAACACCAAAATAATATATGTAGTTATTAATTAAATTAATTTAAAAAAATATTTAATAATAATTTTTAGAGGATGTTCAAGTAAATTGGGCACGGGTTAAAAGGTTATCAAGTAAGTGAGTCGTGCCGTGTAACCTACATACTTAAACGAGTCATGTACAAGTTTATTAGTTTTTCATACAAACCAAATTAAATCCGACTCGTAATCGTTTAATCCGACACGATTAACACCTCTAATCATTGTGAATTTGTTATCTGAAGTAACCCACTCAAAAGAAATAACATATATAGCAGTGACAGAGGCAAATAGGTAGGGGTGTCAAACGTGTCGTGTTTGTGTGACCTACATATCGTGTTATTCGTGTCGTGTTCGTGTCAAGATCTACGAAAAAAAATCTATTTAATGTGTTCTAAATATTAAACAATAGTCTAAACTATTTATTATGTGTATTTAATAATCATATCAATTTTATAATCGTTCATGTCGGGTTCATATCAATGGGTTAGAGTTGACATCCCTGCAAACATGGGCCTGGGGAATAAACAAAATTTGGTCCATTAAGAGAACAAATCCCTTAGTAAATGGACTGGAAATGTCACACGTCGCAATCTCCAAACTTTGGTATTGATATTACCGGTTATGATTTTGAACTTGATATTTTGATAACATTTCTTATATAATTAATCTCATTTTTTGTAAATAGTTATAATTAATCTCTTTTTAGTTTTTTTTTTTGTTTGCATAGATATGGTATACTTACTTCTAGTCTATCTATGTTTAATCAATCTTTAATAAGTATCAAATATGAAGTAAAAAATAAAAATGTATCACATTATTTTTACCTATTAGAAGACAAAGTTCAACTTATAATTAAAATATGCCCACCTAAAATAAATTTCTGACTCCGCTACCGATATATTGACTACTCTTCTAAAAAATTGTAGATTTGTGTAAGGTGTAAATCTTTCCCTGCCTATTTGTAATATTTAGCTGCGCCTAACTTTGAAAGAGCACTTAGGTTCTGCTAATGTATTGGCTGTTTATGGGAGTGCCAAAATGTCAATAACATTAGCATTGCCTTTGAATTTTTATTTTCTTTTAGAGGCGTTAAATCCACCCCGTCCATCTTACTATAGTCATAACTTTGTCTGCACTTGGTTCTTTTATTTTTCTTTCTTATTCAAATCTATAGAATAAGACATGACATACAGCAATCAAATTGATTGAATTCTATAACATAAAAAGTCAAAAAAGACTACATTTTTATCTTTGCCTTTTTTTCGTCATTCTACATTCAAAAAGCATGTACTATCTCAATATGGTATTATCACACATTTCCATAGTGAAAACACAAAAAAGAAATGAAATGAAAAGAAAATGCACAAATGGGCCAGTTCTCTCAAATGTAGTGTTGGGATAGGTAACTTATATTCAGAGTATGAAGAGTTACATTAGGCGTAAGGGAATAATAAACCAATTGTCGGAGCAGTGAGCGTATTAGGGTAGCATGTGCCTTCGGGATGCCCTAATTAGGGTTATAACATATTTAAGTTAAATTGTAACATAATTCAGTGTAGAATAAAAAACAAGGCAGCTACTATAGGATTGTGGATGTAAACAAATTGTCGAATTACGTAAATTCTTATGTTATTCTTTTATTATTTTGTTTCGTTCATCGCACACACGAATCAGAATAGGTAGCCATTGAAATTGGCAAGACTCGGGTAACTCATAATCTCAAAATCATGCCAATCTGGAACTGGTTCATAATCTCAATAATCTTGTCTGGTTGTTAATAAAGTAAATAGTTCGTCAAGATAACTACTGCGGAATATTACAATCCATTGAAATAATTCAAGACTTTTGTTGTGGTAGTAAAGACTTGGATGTATGAAATTTCGTGCAAATCTAAACCAACATTTAAATCACCTACAAAAGATTAGGCCAACGATATATTCACAGGAGTTAATAATATTTTTGATCTTTAAAATATGTATTTTTTTATCACTTTAATCTTCGTTGTATCAATTTTGTCAATTTAATCTCTAAAGTATTCAATCTGTATCACTTTCTTCCACAATCAAACAAGCTTAAGTTTTTTTTATGAAAGTGACCACGTATTATTTTTTCAGACGGTATCACGTGCCCAATTTAACAGTCTGTCTATTCAGAGATCAAAATGGCATAAATTAAATACTTTATGAATTAAATTGACAAAAATTACATATTTTAAGGACCAAAATGCTATTACACTATTCACCGGTTAAATTCCCATGTTGCTTGGGGAGTGGGTTGGGAATAAGTCAA